TTGCTGTGAGCTGTAATGCCACGGCACTCTACCCAGGGGGGACAGCTTGAGGCTCTGTCTCAAAAAAAAAAAAAAAAAGAAAATGTAACATCATTAAACCATTTGGGACTGTGAAGAGTTAACCCAGCAGGTCTGGCTGTTGAGTCCTCACATCTTTTAGGGGCACTGGGACCATTACTACCACCAGCCAACTCCCGGGAACACGCATCTCAGAATGTTCTGTATGTCACCGATGGATTGATGATTTTTGTAGTGTACACCTGGAGCAACAGACCATGTTGGGGTTGCTTTGCACAAATATCAAGATTGATGATATGCACCTGCTTTCACTACTGGGGTCCTAAGCTTCAAGTGTTATGGGTGGTTCTCAGCAGAATGTGCTACATAACTAGTCTCTCAAGAAAGCCTCAGATTCAGAGACTCAAATGAGCTTTCCCTGGACAGAGATATTTCACACATGTCCCTCTAGTTTGCTGCCAAAGAAAAAGCACATCCTGTGTGGCCTTGGACAAGGCTTGTGCCAGACCTCCCTGAACTCCCTGATGCTTATCTTTTTCCTGCTGCTTTTGTTCTGTATTCTTTACTGTAACAAACTTTAGCCACAAGTATAATTTGCTCTTGTGAGTCCTTCTAACAAAATCACCAAATTTGGAGTGGTTAAAAAGAAGTCAACAGCTTCTTAAATTAACCATAACACCACTGGCCTTCTCCCTGACCAGAACTCCCCCACTATTAACTTTTTGGTACATATGCCTTCTGATTTTTTTCTATGCATACACCAACACATATTATTACTTTTACCAAAATAGAGTATTATAACATGTTATGTGTTTAACCAATTTCCTACAAACCAACATCTGGGTTGCTAGGCTGATCTTAATTTTTTGCTCCTGCAAATAATAAATACTACTGTGAAGTCCTTGCACACATGTGGGTGAATAATTCTGTAGAATGAAGTTTTAGAAGTCAAACTGCTGGACCCAAAGCTAAATAGTACAAAGTTTTAATGTTTCATGCTTTGAAAGAGGAATACTCATTTTGACATCAATATTAGAATATACAGTATACCTACCACCCTTGTCACTGTCACAATGGGAAGCATCAAACTGTGCATCATCATTGGGGATATGTACTCGAGCAACCACCAGATGATTCTGCTCATCAGATGTATGAGTCCCCAGCACTAGCCAATGAAGGGCATAATCCTTTCCTTCCGGTCTGTTTAAGAAAGAAAATAAGTCATACTAATCCTACAAGAAATCTTCAGTTGATAACTCAACCTAGTTCTCTCAAAATGCATTAGAATTTCTTTAGCAAATATATACTGAGCCTTAACTACGTACCTACTCCCACTCTGGTTACCGACTATATAATCCCATGTGCAAATGTAAGATAGAATATTTTAACCACAACATGAATGCAGAGGTCTTGCTTCTTTCCTAGAGCCATCCTCCTCTGCTTGGGTTATCAATGTGAACGCTACACCCAGTTCAGTAAATAAAGACTAACATCTATATAAGAGATCATCACTGATCCAAACATAAATCACAAATTCCTACCTAAAAAAATCTGCTTTAGTATATTAAAATATACTAGCTGGGCGGCGCCTGTGGCTCAGTGAGTAGGGCGCCAAACCCATATACCAAGGGTGGTGGGTTCAAACCCAGCCCTGGCCAAACCGCAACAAAAAAATAGCCGGGTGTTGTGGCAGGCACCTGTAGTCCCAGCTACTCGGGAGGCTGGGGCAAGAGAATCGCCTAAGCCCAGAAGTTGGAGTTGCTGTGAGCTGTGTGACACTGCCACGGCACTCTACCAAGGGCGATAAAATGAGACTCTGTCTCTACAAAAAAAAAAAAAATACTGTTTCCTAATAAGAGGCAACAAGATAGAATGGAAAAAATAAAGTGTTGAGTAAAAAAACTGGATTTAATTCCTGGCTTTTAAAATTACCTATGTGCAACTGCTTACATCTCAACCTTCCTGAGGCCTCAGTTTTTGCACCTAAAAAATAGGTTGTAAGTGCCAAGGGTATAATGTGAAACCCCTTATTTATGTTTATGACATCTGAAGTTTAAAGAATGAGCATTCTCGACTTTATCAAGGGGTCTTTGTTCTGTGGAGACTCACCCTGAAGACAAAGAATTTGCCAATGCCTCTTGGCATGTTGGGCCAAGCAGTGATTTTTGCACTGCTATCTATCAGTAAGGCCTTTCCTTTTTATTATCTACAATAGCAATTTTCAACAGTGCTCCACGGTCCCACCTCAAAAAGAAAGACGAGTAGTAGGGCTCTAGGTCCCAATACCAGATAAGTTAGACCATTTTATCTGTTTCTAAATTTCAGTTGTATAAAGGATTCAATGGTTAAAAAAAAAAAAGCCTGAAGGTTACTTCTAGGCATATAATTTAGTAATAACTGAAGAAAAACAGGATGAAATTTTACTAAGAAAAAAAACCAAAAACAAACACCCCACCTTAAGAACAGAATAAGGCAGCCATGGCTAAGTAACGGCAACTTGTTTGGAAAAAGACATGGTCTTAGCTGATACATGTGATATGCCAAAAATATGACATAGTTATCAAAAAAGGTAATTAATTTCATCTTAGATGACTTTTATATATGAGGGGTAGGCAACTGCACATGAGCAAGTGACCCCTCCACCATATTTCTAGAGGTGGTCTTACCCAGGCTGAACTTGGACTCCTGGACTCAAGTGATCCTGAGTAGGTGTGCAGTACCACCCAGCTTGCCCATTTATCAACTAGCAACACCACATTTAAACAGTTAGGTTCTAAGTAATGTCTTCACATGGCCCTGAACAAAATGAACCTTTACAGAGAATAGTGGCTTAAAATGAAAGGGAAAGCCAAGTACCTGTAGTCCTAACCACTTGGGATACTGAGGCAGGAAGATTGCTTGAGCCTGGGAGTTCTTATCTGACTCTTGCAAAATAGTAAGACCCTGTCTCTTTAAAAAAAAAAAAAAAAAGTAAATTTGGCAGGGCACCCATGGCTCCTGCCATTAATCCTAGCACTTTGGGAGGCTGAGACAGGTGGATGGCCTGAGCTCAGGATCAAGACCAGCCTGAGCAAAAATGAGACACCATCTCTACTAAAAATAGAAAAACTAGCTGGGTGTTGTGGTGGGTGCCTGTAGCTACTTGGGAAGCTACTTTAGGCCAAGAGTTTGAGGTTGCTGTGATACCATGGCATTCTACTGAGGGTGAC